TCCCTCTCGCCCTTCTCCCATAATTCATTCTTCGCCAGTAAGTTAGATTAAGCGTCGCGCTGCACCCTCTCGCTTTCGACAGCGGATCCGGAAGTATTTACTCACGGCCATATCGCGCAATTAGCCATGTTTTCGGGACAGAATTGCCTTTGAGCAACGGTCCGGGAATTACGGTACAGCCAATTAAGGGGCCAAGTACACACCTTCTCGTTAGCGGCGAGAGAGGCCCATTCAGTGATGGAAGAGGTCTCCCGCCGAGTTCCTAGTCACTCGCCATCGGCGAAAGTAATCTCGCACTTTGTCCGCGGGGAAGATTTAGCCGCGGTTGGGCACCGCTGCAGCCGAGCCAACCCAATTCTGGTATCACACACCGAGAGAGAGAGAGACAGAGAGAGAGCCACTCTAGACGGATTCGAATCTCTCTAGTCCGTCGTTCGTCCGCACAAGGCTAACCGCGCAGAAACGGAAGTTGTCGACGGCGAAAAGAAGGGAGATCGAATTGCGATTCGGATTTCGCGGCGATTCGGATTTCGCGGGAGACGCCGGGAGAAAAAAAAAGAAGTTTTAATGGAGGGAACACGTGCGGTGCGCGCACACAATGGCGCGATGTTACGGGGCGTGATACCCCGTTAACGTTGCATTAGCTACGAATAACTCAACGCTTACGGCAAACACGTCACGTTCGGTATATATTAAATATTAAATATTGTAAACTGAGTTCCGCCCATTCGTGAAGAACACTTAACGCGCGCATTATATCGAGCCTGAATTTTAATGCGAGCTTTTATTTCCCTTCTCTCTACATTGAATCGCGCAATTGTATACAACCTTAATTGCGCGCTTAACGCTCCGCGCCGGGCGATAAGCTGTGCTACGAGGAAACCGGAAAATTGTAAATGCTTTGAAAGTTCATGAAACCAAGAGAGACTTTGCAGGTGCGTAAAACTTTACGCCTGTTATTAATAAAACATGACTGCTGAATTAACTTCATTGCCTATCTCCCATCTTACGTTATACATCTACAGAACTCTACACTGAAAGAAAAGTGTCGAGTACTTGTGATTGTTATCGCACAGTGAAATAATTGGTCACAATTGTGCAAGAATAATCTAACCTGCATGGAATACGTTTAGAGAAAAATGAAGATAAAAATTTGATCATGATTTAAAAAGTACAAATAGCACCGAGATTCCTCGTAATCGTTAAGAAAGTTATAATAAATTTTTAAGGGTATTTATTGACAAGCTTAACCCTTAAAAACAGATAAAAACGCAACTACTATTACTTTTTTGCTAGATCATCATTAAAATATAGCTGTTAATGATCATAATTTGCAGTAAGATTAATCATTTCTTTCTCTCAGTGTAGACAAAAGTTTACGATCCATATAAATTCGCATTAAGTTGAATAAACATGATTTCTATATATACCCATCACCTCTAAAACTTTAAATCACTTTTCGTGTATGCTTTTGTGACTCACCGAAATACCGGGAACTGAGGAGCGCTCTGCTGCCATGTTCTGCTGTAGATCTGAAACAAAAAATATAATATTGCTGATTAGATACATAGGTTAATGGTTTAACGAAGGAAATACGCGAGATATAATCCTATAAGTCTTTGTAATCGTCGACTTGACAACTTTTATTGAAACGCATCAATTTTCGATCGTAAAGGCTTAAATACAAAAGCACAAGAAAAGTTAGGGCGAACCTACCTTCAGCGCGAGTCACCTAAAGGCCAAATCACACTAATAATTGGCGATAGATGATTGACGATTAAAGATTGGAACTTGATCAATTGGAACAAAGCAAGCCAAGGCTGAAGCTTGTTGATTTGTTAAAATCTAATCTTTAATTGTCAATCGTCAATTGCCAATCGCTAATGTGATTTGGCCTTTAAGCCCGTGTCACACTACAGATTGGAAATTGAGGATTGCGGATTAAAGATTAGATTTCGACGAATCAATGCACTTTGGTCTTGGCCTGCTTGGCTCCAACTGGTCAGTTCCAATCTTCAATCCGCAATCTTCTATCTCCAATCCGTAGTGTAACACGGGCTTTATACTGTACGCGATGGTACAGCTCGTTACCCCCCACTCCGCGGCTCAGATAAGCATAGTCACTCCACCCACTTGCTCGTTGCGGTCGTTCACCTCACTTTAGAAGCAAATAGTACGTCGGCGCGAGAGCGAGTGCCATCAGCGTCGTGCGAGCACGAATTCCGCTGAGTGAATCTAATGTACTTCACCATCAAAGGAGCATTGTCATTGTAATCGATGGTGAAAAAGTCATTCTCGCAATTTTCACCATCGCTTTTAGCGAAAATACTGCCACTTCTCCCTCGTTTTGAGTAAGATCTTCTAAGAAGAATTTACCTTCAAGAAACTTGAAAAGTATTGCACGTGAACGCGGCGTGCTCATAAAGTCTAAATATCAACGAGATATTTTTAATTTTTGTCAGTCTCATAATCGAAACACTCGATCGCTGCTTTTATACGTACTATTTTTCATCCCTATTCTTAAAACTTATAATTTATTCTCCAAATTTTTAAAAGCGAAATTTCGCTTGAAGAATATAAAATGACTATCGAGACACTCCAATACGAGTGTCTTTTCACTCATATAGAGCGAACTCTCCGCTCTGAATCGTCGAGTGAATATTTCTACTCGAAATTGAAGAGTTAATCCGACGTACTCCACCGTCACACAAGAGCATATCCACTCTAATCGATATATATGATCGGGAATATGGTCATATGGTGTCAAAGTCTATTTCAAACTCGAGTGAAAAATTCACTCGCGCGATCTCGAGTAGTGATATTTACGCTTCGATAAAAATACTGCCACTTTTCACTCGCTTTGAATGAGATTCCACTCCAAGAAATTTAGGAAGTACATAGCGGTGTGCCGCCGCTGTGAACCTCACAGCGCTATCTAATAAGGCAACGTGGTGGACAGGCGTCGATTAAACGCGAATTCCAGCCATTACTATGTTCTTCGACGTAGCGCGGAATACTTTTGCGAGTTATTCCGCGGGAATCCCGCGTGGGATATATAATATCCAGGCTGTTTTAGTTAGACGTACTCGATGAGTTGCGCATTCCCGGTGCCTGATAAGAAATTTCAATTCGCGAGTTCGTTACCACCCAGCACCATCGTTCGTTCCGTGCCTGTAATCCCGGAACGGCGCTTCCAGAATTCGACGATTTCGTAACAAGAAATCGGCGAACAATAAGACGGACCACGGTCGCTTGATCCTCGTTCCACCGTGGATTATCGTCGACGTGGCCGGTCTTAGGGGTAAGCCAGTATTCGTCTCTTCGAAAGAGAGTCTAGCGAGCGAAACGGGGTTGCCGGGAAGGCGCGGGAAAGCGCGGGAATGCCGGTGAACTACGAGAAAAAGAGTATTATTTCTGCAGCCGCGAACAGGCAGTAGTCGGAAATCGAGTCGTGGAAATCCGTCCGGAACGCAACGCGCTCTCCAAGAGGCGAGTGCACGTTTTACGTAAAACTCATGAAGTTACGACGGATACTTCGCCCTGGCTCTCCTATTTCCGCAGATATCCACCGTCCCGTCCGCTGCTGCGGCTGTTTTATCAGTAAAACAGCGTCGTGCACTGTGGTGTGTACGTGAGTCGAGCACGGCCGAGAAGATAAACCTAATCCCTACGGTCAATGGATTTTGTCGTTCGGCCCTTTAAAATTTATATGCAAGATCGACCTCTCTCCCTCTTTCTCTCTGCCTCTCGCGCGAAGAGAGTGCTTCTCTTCTGTTCCGTTTAAAATGATGTATTAAACTCGCGTGATAACGAATATTCTCGTAATGCAATTAATTCCCCGTTGCAAAAAGTATAATGAAACTTTTTTTCCGGGTGTTCTTCCGGCCGTTTAGCTTAACCCGTGTTGTCCTTATACGTTGACACTCGAAGTATCGCGTATGTAATTATCGTGCGCGATATATACATCACATGTATACACGGGGAAGAGACAACTTCGTTAGTGTAACTAAATTTTCTGTTACTCGGGGATCAAATGAGAAACTCTGTTGTTGGAACAGAAAGATTCCTGTAGGAGTTTCCTGCTCAGCCAACTGTACTCATGTATCTTAACCGAGTTATAATCCAGCTGGATGTTCTGACAAGTGTTTTCAGTAACATCGTTTTTCATCAGTGAATTTTTCGTCCGGTCGTTCAGTTGACCGAACTGAAATTTGTTTTTCCGTGTAACAAAGACCGCATTATTTCGAGCAAGTAATGAGACAATAAAGTAGAGAATTACACATGCGTAAATAATTATCTTAACACTGCATTAATCACCGTCTCTATTAAATACGCGTAGTTATACATGTCGTGTGTCCCAAAGGGACACGTGTTCATCAAATACGGCATAGCGGTATGCGGCAATCCACGTAGACTGTCGCGCATCACATTATCGTTAGCGTTCATTTGCAATCTGTAACGAGGCCGTTGCTCGCAACATACGTTAAAATGAGACAAGGTAACCGTTTGAAGGGAAGATTGTGGATTTCGGCTAAACTCAGACGAAGTGTTCGTTTATGAGATGATTGAATTAGAGTTAAATGTTTATTTGTTCATTTTTTTTTTTTAATAAAATAAACGACGAGAGAAACTGCCTGAGATGACTGCGTCCTCTCCGAACGCGCGACTAGTCGCATTAATTCGTTAACGAGTAAAATCGTCCCGATCGCACGCAGATTAAGCGAACCTCTGGGCCGCGCTTTATTATCGCGCACATTTCTAAATCGTGGGGTTCCGTTAATTTACCCCACCAGCTAACTCGTGTAACGAATCGCCGAAGTAAAAACTTCATCGATAAATCTCGCCAACTTCTCGTTCGGCAGGACTGCAATTTTTCGAGCGCGACACTGTGTTTTCGGACGAGATTGTTTTTGGTCAGAAACGAAATAAATCCGAGTGATAGTGCATTAATGTCCCCCGAAAATATATGAAATGCCATATCGTGCCGACATACGCGACACGCGGCTATCTCGACCGAATGAGAAAGTTAAAGTCACGCGGTCGACGTCAGGAGCCGGGCAAAAACTAATTTACATTCGTTATGTGAAGCGCTATTTGGAGCTCGTTCGTCGCCGTCGAAACGACCGTTGATGGTGGTGGCCTGAGTCAGCGATTAGGCGCTTAATTTAGCGGAAACAAAATGTTGCAAAACATTTTTCGATGCGCGCCTTTCTTAGGTGCTCGCGCGCCAAAATCACCAGCTACCGATAACTACATCCACTTTTCTTATTCGCGATTATATTTTCTCTTGCGTTCGTGCTTTTGCCCGCGTTCCGTGTCGTCAAATTCTTGAATGACACATTTCCATAATAAATGCGTGTTTTGTCGTAGCCGAGTCGAAATTTTAACCTGAGCCTTCCTTAACATCGATATATCCTAGAGAACCAGCGTTTACTGTGCGTATGTTTAATACACACAGAAACTGCACGCGGAAAAAACAATTCTGTTGACGCAACCAAATTTTCGATTGCTCAGGGACCAGACGAAAATTCGGTTGTAGGAACAGAACAATTCCTTTATGAGGCTTCTATAGTCAATTGTTCTCAGTTGCCTCAATTGAGTTCTGATATCGTTGAATGTTCAGACGAATATTTTCGGTTTCAACAACAGAAATATTCGTTTTCATAACAGAGATATCGCTTCTGATCATCTAATTTTCAGTTGGTTCCTATTTGGTTGCACCAACTGAAATTTTTTTTGCGTGCAGTCTTACATAGCACAAAAAAAACGCACGAAATATTACTCGCAAGTTCTCCAAAGAAGCATCTGTCGGCAAAATAGATTAAATAGAACAGACAACAAAATATCGACTTCAATATTCAATTTTTGTTTCTATACTGCATCGCTCGACTTGACCCGATTTGCATTGCACTTCCCGATTTCTTAGGTTTATAAGTATCGGCTGACCCGTGTCTGGTCGGCCCACCACGGCTAACTCGCCGTCTTATCTTCACAGGGTTCGACAACATCTGCACCTGCGGGGCTTCGCGGAAGCCTCTAAAAATACTGGAAATGACAGTCCGCCTGCGGACCACGATTCGATGGAGACGCGACCGTCGCCGGCACCGATTATCGTACGGAGGAAGACGGGAAATAGTGAATACACCGCTGTGAAAAATGGTCGTGATCAAAGGCACGTGTGCTTTTCGCCCTATTTCCAGCTCTCTTGAATTTTCGCGCGTAGATACCGCGCAGAGAACGCCCTTTCGTCAAGAAAGCCTTGGGATTATCCAAGTTGCGAAAGTAATTCGACGCGAAACAGCGCGAGAAGAAGAAGAAGTTCCGTGTATCTTACAGAGTGTTACTGTCCAAGCGAGGTTCCTCGAAATAATTCTTAAAGTTCATTAGCTTTCGCAGAGATCGATGGGTTTTTTGTCGTCGCTCCGTTTCACGCGAGCGCAAGCAGCAAAGTGAGACAACGTATGTCGTGTAAGGTGCACTCTTTTGAAACTTGCAGCGTTCCTGCTGGTCGTTGCCACTTCAAGAGCGTACACGCTTCAAGAGTCCGTCTCGACTGATTCGGCCCCGGGCGGTAACAATTGCTCGACCACCGACAGCTTCCTCATTCTTCCTTTCTCAAACGAGACGCGGGAAGGCGAGATGGACACGACGGCGGACGTGCTTACAGACGGCACGAAGAACAACCCGAACGTGTCGCATCCGCGGACGTTGACCTCGCCCAACGATTGGGACGAGAAACCGAGGCTGAAGTTTCCGAAATTCACCGCGGAGAAGCGTTACAAGATGGCGAGTTTGCATCTCGATAAGGGTTGGTTCGCCTTCGACTTTCTCAGGGGCTTCCTCTCCTTCATACAGCCTTACGATGTACCGACCGGTAAGACATAATAACGATAACGCAAATGGTTTCCGCGGAATCTGTTTTAAACTTGAGAGTCCTCCAACATACGCGTCTTTCGAGCAATTTATACTGAAATCGAGTGGTTTCCCTAGTCGTGTCGATTCACACGCAGACTATTTCGATAAAAAATGAAGAAAAACAAAATAGAGAAGAGAAAAAGCAACACACATTGCCACATCGCTCGATTCATTCAAACACTCATCCTTTATATATTTCTCTTTCTCTCTCTCTCTCTCTCTCTCTCTCTCTCTCTCTCTATATATATATATATATATATATATATATATATATATATATATATCTCAGCAAATTAATTTCAATAAATGATTGGAAATCGCGTAATCAAAGAGATACTCTACGCGTGAGCAGAGAGCGACAGCTGTGTGAAAAGCGGCGATGAACGACTCTATTGGTTTTCGCGGTGTACAATATCGCGCGGAGAACATATCGGGGGTTCTATTAATTTCTCGAATATCTCGTATTTCACCGCCGATGTGCGAGTAATTCTGAACATTTTGTCAATTCGATGTCGCTCGATCCACGTCGAGTGATGTAAGCCGGATAAATTTCTCGATATCGTTAAACTCTATTAACGTTTCTCTTCCAATTAGCGACGCGGAGGCAGGCAAAGAGAGAACGAGAAAGAGAAAATTATAATTCTTCTCGCTCGTTACAGAGCTGCTGGCGGACGTTGTGGAAAATCGCATAAGCGCCGGCAAATTGATCTCCGAGGTAAGGGAAAATCGCGCCGGGACCCGGCAATATTTAGCTACCGGCGCACGGTGAAGTAGATCATTAAAGGAAGCGCAAAGCTTCATTTATTAGTTTCATCCGGCCTCTCTCATGGCTCCGGATGCTCTCGACCGTCTCGTTTTGGGATGGGAATTTCCTCGGACGCGGCGCGCGAATCGCGAAATACATAATTTCCACGATCTACGACGCACGGATGCTGCCACAGTTAAGTTTCTCGCAAGCCTCGCTCTAACTTTTACAGTCTATGCACGTGGAAGCAGCTTTTCTGGGCTTAGTAGGCGTGTGCTGCGTACTGGCCTGCATAATACCTGGCACGGAACTTTGGCTCGCCTGTCGTCCAATCAGAGAGGATTACAAACCCTCCCGGCATCCCGGTGTTCTCGCATTTCTCCTCGCCGTTCTCGCCTTTATGCTCGGGTAGGATCTATGACGATTCTCCGTTCTTAGACACACCGCCCTCGAGAACTTATTACCCTCACTTCCAACCCAAGCCGTGTTCCCTAATTCTTCTATCCTTCTTGATTGCACGCCGCGAGTGTGTAATCGCCGCGAGTCCCGCGGTGATAAAGTTCCCCCGATTACGTCGACTTTTTACGTTAACACGAGAGAAATTCGCCGCCCATTTTACTATTTTACGTCCGTTACAAAGCCACGTTCTTGCCTCCTTTTGTTCTTCCCAATTTCTGTTAAGCAACTATGGAGAATTCGAGTGCACGTGGTACTGACGAAGAAGCATGCTTAGTTTACACACAAAAGTGTCAACGAATCTTCCTCTTCTTTTCTTTCGCCAATTTAACAATCGTGTTAGATTAACTGTGATAATAACAAGATGATACACGCAAAAAGAGAAGAAGTAAAGTTAGGAAGAAGGAGAATGGTCTAAGTAGGTCTAAGTAGCTATTCGTCTTACTGCGCGACGCTGGAAAACCTTTTAACGAAAGCGAGCACTCACTAAGTTATTCATGATCCTTCGCGCGTGGTACTCAGGTCTTGCATGGTGACAATGATAATATGCAACGAGACGGTGGGAGCCGGGATCGGGAAGCTACCTATGACGGTGGAGACGGCATTGCAGGACTTAAAGGACTATCACGCGGATACAACGTCGCAGCTGCGAAAGTGTCTCACGAGGAGCTTGGACGTGGCCAGTGAGGCGGTTCTCGCCGATCTGGACAGTGAGTGAAAATTCCCTTTTCGCAGTATTAAAACGCTCGTGTTATTAAGACGCTAGACGCGATGAGTTCCCTCCGGCAAAAAGAGTTGTCTCTTCCCCTCACGACATCCGAGCGCGGAGCAACATGCGAGAGGACTTTCAACCAACAGTATCAGCGCGCGACCACGGATGCGATTTCTGAAATGCTTACCGAACGTTGTCCCCTTTCCTCGTGTTATTAACACAAACACAACCATGTTACTATAATTGTGCTCTGTCTCGAGTACACACGTGTTTTCTCAGTCTCGTTACCTTTACTCGTCGACGCTCGACGTGTAAAAACTATCTCACGAAGCGCGAGAGAAGTCGGAAAATAAAGAGGAAACATTGAGATTATATAACGACAATGATGCGAGATCGCGTTACTAGAAGCACTATAACGTGCGTACTCCTGAAAGCTTGAAAAGATGAGAGATTCAGCGGGACGAAGTCTTCGTAATAAAATATTTACGCGTTTTCAAGATACATATTTTCTATGTTGTGTTCACTCTCTCTCCCTCTTTCTCTCACCTCGTTTGTGATCAGACGAAAATCCTACTGCAAAGAGAAACTTGTGTATTTGCGAGCCGACTGTTAACGGTAATAGAGAACACAGAACGAGTCGCCAATTAGTTAATTTCTGAAGGAGGTCGAGAGAGAGAGAGAGAGAGAGAGAGAGAGAGAGAGAGAGAGGGAGAGAAAGTGTATGTGGAAAGCGGAAAACCGCTTGCGGTTCGACTGCTAGAACTTCGCTACTTTAACGCAACATAGCGTCTGGTTGCAAGCGGCCTTCCGCTCTTGATTCTTGAACGTGACCGCAAATCGACCGGATCCATCGCTAAACGCCGTTAGGCTTATATTTAATGTTAAAATTCCGCCCGCATGTCCACGAATTTAATCGATTACGCCGCGTACGCATTAATCCGACCGCAAAAGCGACGCCAAAATCGCACGGTTTAACGCGACCTAACTATTTAACGCGGCGCACCGAGGCACAATCCAATCGCTAATTTCGGAAGCCACGCGTGTCATTCCAAAATTCAAAATTCAAACGTTAATAACACGAGCCAAATGTGGCTATACATATGGATATAATGTAATTGTGTCATAGAATTTTGTTTAATGGAAAATGTCGTTTCAGGAACAGGAGGATTCGGGGAAAGAATTGGATTAGCTAATCAATTAATCGATTAATCAAGCAATATTCTAACATTTTTCATTTTATCAATAATCTAAATCAAAAACGCATAAATCGTAGATTTATCGTACACAATCGAGTTAACGGTATTTTCCATTTTAAAGGAAGTCTACAGCAATTATATTTTTTGCGTCAAGACAAAAGTCTCTCAAGAGTTGCAGCGCAAAAATCGAAATCACCTGAATGTAAAATCGCATAATTAGCGCATAATTCCTATTTATTTTATTAATTTAAATATATCTATCCTATTTATTTTATTAAATTAATATTAAATAAATATTAATTTATTTTGTATTTATTTTTAAATAGCTTGTCATTAGTGTTGATGGAGAGCTAATTTGCTGTTAGCTCCAACTTGGCCTCCCAAAAAAAATTTTTTTTGATGTTTTTTTGATGAATGGAGGCGCAAAATTTTTAATATTATTTTCGGTGCGCACATAAATAGTGTATAATTATATGATTTTACTGTTCATTTTAGATTATTTGGGGGACCAGCTAGACAGACGTTATGAATATCATTTTTCCCAATTAAAAACCTTTTAGTAAAAACTGTCATGGTAGAAATTGAACAACATACGTATGTACGAATTTTTTCAAAATATAAAAAATGATTAAATATACAAACAAGAAGGAGCAACATCAGGTCATTCGGTTTTTAACGCTTGCAGCTCAAGAGAGATCTCAAAAAATGTAGATATAAAATAATATGTGACATTTAAATTCTCAAAAATTCTCCTGTTCCGTCCAATTACTTTTCATTCGTTTTGCATGCGCGATAGCAGGACATATTCACCGGTAGGAAGTAATTTCACCGTATGTGGTGACCAGAAACATTTTTAGTTAAATGGCGGATGGTATAACGCTTGAATTATATGTGCATTTATATTTATGATATGCCCGTGTTTGACGTATTCGCCAGCACAGGTTGGAATATTTTTAATCGTTTTCTCGCGAGCTAACAGTTCGCGGGATTTTCTGCATTATTTCGTTTACACACACACACACATGACGAAATTATTTGTTGTTAACGACATAACGATTCAATTAATTTAAAACATGCTTTCATGACAATGCAAAGGTATACTAAAGATGTAATGTTGTATTATAATCATTAAAATAATACCGCGTTCGAGAGACCGAACAAGGATGTCATGCATTTTCGCGATAGCGTACTGTTTTTTGATTTCGCTTTATTTGCGAAGCGTGATACTTCGATCATTATTGCGCGAGCGCAAAAGCTGTATCTTTCACGCATCTGTTATTTTGTAATGTATAAAAAGGAGCGACAGCACAGTATTTTTATTCTCGAAACGATGAGAGTCATATATCAAATAATCCTTTACGCTTTTCGCGGCATGGAACGAAGTGCGAAGCATACACGATCACTAGTTCATTCACCATCCTGTGTTCAAGGTGCATTTATCATAGTCTTGTAGTTAATGTTCAATATTCCCACCATCTTCTTTTTTCGAAAGCTCATTCGTGTTATCATTGATATTACCATATCAAATTTATAAAATTTACAAAATCTCGCATGAATAAGTGCGCATTTTCTATGTTATGCGTCTCTAGCCAGCGAAATAGAAGATAAAAGAGCCATAATACATTCAGAATATATCCACGATACGTAAAAGTGAAATATACATGAACCTTGACTTTTAAATTTCAACTCGACTATCTTTACCTTCGGCAAATTCTGTAAAATCTTTCTTTTAAAATTAAAAATTTCCTATATAACAAATAATTTATTTGACATACCTGAAAGGGTACGATGTATCACTAGCAGGTCTCGACATCTTGTCTTTCTTATTCAACGTTCTGCCAGCTACGCTGACACTGTCATTGACAATCACGCAAATATAACTCGGATCGGAGTAACGCATATTGAATCTTGCGATACCGATTAAAGCCGGTTTTAATATTTCACGAGCCGACGAAATATTTTGAACACCTTCCCGGCGAGAATAATAACCAATTCACTGACACACATATACTTTGCGGTATGGCTTGTTGACACGAAACAAAAAATGGAAAACCTCGGAAGATGACAAGACGCATGACGATATGTTTGGCCGCCTTAAAGGTCGAAATGTTTTGAAAGTGTCGATACTTGTGATCACTCGAACGTTCAGTGAGGGACTGACTATTGATGTTTTCGTTCTTTATGTCCATTGTTTTGGTACTGTCACATGACGCGTATTTCTTCGCGGACGAGTCGTTACATTTCGAGCGACGAGCATACCGGCGACGTGAAGTGTTAGTTACAATCCGCGTCGGGTGATAAAAATATTTCCTGCCAAGCGGCAAGGCTTACAAAAAATATTATAATAATATTATAATAATATTATAATAAATAGCATATCTCTAGGTATCTTTATTTTTACGAATAAAACGAAAAGAAAATTAAAATATTTCGTTGTCACTTTAAATATTTCTGTTAGTCAGACTCGACATAGCGTTAATTAACACACGTTTCACCGTTTCGCATTTATACGAAAGTAGCAGTGACAATGTCAGTGCCACAGCAGTTGATCTACCTAAAAGGTATACTCCGATTTCTTTCTAATTTAGTATAAATATAGAAGTACAAAAAATATCGACCATTCTAAGTTTCTATAGCCGAGATTCCAACTGAAATATTTAAAATCTGTGCTAAATTAAAAAATTATTCGAATCTTGGCCAAAGAAATTATTTGTATAAATAATTTTTTTAACTTTTTATGTTTTGTTTAAATATAAAAACACAGATTTGAAATATTTCGGTTGGAATCTCGGCTAAAGAAATTTTGGTTTATTTCTCAGCTATACCGATTTTGTTAAAATTATTTAATTATATCTTGTATTCGATTTTATTTCTTATGCATTTTTGTTATACTTGTTAATGATAGGAGTGAGAATATTAAAAAACTATAAACTGTCCATGAAATTCAAAATGGACCAAAATGAAAAAATAAGACCTAAATATTTTTTGTACTTCTACATTTGTGCCAAATTAGAAAGAAATTGGAGTGTAACTTTTGGGTAGGTTTACTTGTGAGAGACAAAATGTTGAATAGGAAATTCGGAAACGCAGGATTCCGGAACTCAGGCAACGTTACATGTTTCTAGGTGCGTGATATCACATTTATTATGCAATGCAATTTATTATTGATGTTTCGGATTTTAGATAAAAATTAAATGCAGTTAGAATATCGCGAGGTAACCAAATAATTAAAATAATTCTGGCAAATTATATAATTCTGTGAAATAAATTTTTCTTTAAACATCAAGATTAAGAAAGAGACGAAGTCGAGTAAACGGCGAAGTAACCATTTGTAGTATCAAAATGAAACAATAGTCTGTAGAGCATTGTAATGAGATACGATACTCCAAATATTCTTGAATGGAATTTTGCAGAATTAATGTTGCACCAAAATTTCGACACGGGTTAGCTCTGCCGAATTTCATTCTTATCCTTTAGCATTATTTATACAAAAGGACGAGTAATCTCGATCTAAAGAGAAGCCTCTTTGATTTTCTTGTCTTACTTCGTCTCTCTTTATCCTGCTCTCCCCCTCCCTCTCACTCTCTCTCTCGTTTCCTCCCACAATTTTCGTGTATATTCTATCCATCAGGAGCACACATAATACCTCATTCACGAGAAGAAAATTCACGCTATGCATTTTCAGTGTATTCATATAGTACAAAAAATAAGTAACGGAGATTCCAATTTAAAATCCAATCATGAAAGAATAAGAGCAAAATATAATTCCGTGATGTTAGTTAACTGTTGATCGCGAACGCGAAAATATTCGGCCGTATAATTCTTTAACCTTCGTTGTACCTTTATAATATGTAAAGATATAGATCTCATACAGTCACAAATTTATATTTGTGATATCAATGAACGTCACAACATATTTTGCAATATCTCCGGCGTCATTCTTTTTTCCATTGATTATCACTGAATTTCTCATTCCCGATTAATAAATCCGACAACTGTTCGACTCTGTTACTACTTGAGTGAATCGATGGTTAAAACAATTTTAAGAAATATATTTATTCGACACATCGTGTCGCGACAAACGCCAGTTCCACACACCGAGAATCGAGGAGAAAACAGTTTCAGTAATGTACTTATGATACTCAATGACTGCACACATCGCTGTTTCGACACTCCACTGTTTCGACACTGCATGACACTCATTTTCGACCAACAAAAGATACGTCAAGCGCAGAGCAATGTCGATCGACGTGTTAAGCTTGATCTACAATGTACTCTTCCTGTTTCTGGTTTTGTCTTTTTCTGGCTTGAGACAGAAAGAGATAAAGAGAAAAAAACAAGAAGCAAAGAGTACATTCTAGATCTAGGCTTAATTACGGATGTTTGATAGGAGAAAATTATAGACGTCGCGCAATGCACGATGGACACCGAAAATTCACGTTAAAACGTGTCGTGTTCTGTAAGATACACCTTTCTTTCTCTCTTACTAACCGACTATTTTCCGACCCATATAGCACAAATATTTAATAGATATCCTAAGAATATTCGAATATTCTTAGAAAGCTCTTAGGATATTTATTGAACATTGTGCTATATGGGGAGATTCGATGTCGTGTATGATTTTATCTTTATTTTATATATTCTTTCTTGATTACCACTCAATTTCTAATCTCTGATTAACAACGCCGATGATCGTCTAATTTTATTACTATTTGAGTCGGTAATAAGTGCAAGATAGACAGAGAGAAAGAGAGAAAGAGAGAGACATCGGCTCAACACACACCGATTGATATATACGGAGAAAAGCTTAGCTTGGAAGACACTCACATTATCTTCCGACGATCGCACAACGCTATTTCGGCATTCCCGACATTCGTTTCCGCGCGAGACTCGCTTTCGACTCTCAAAAGGCACGTAAAACGCAATATTGATCGATGTGTCGATGACTGTTGCTCGATACAAAAGGAAGATGACCGCGCAATGCATGACGGACGCTGAAAATGCGCGCCAAAACGTGAACGGAGTCGCCACTCTACAACGCGATCTTGCGAGTGGAATATACATTCCCGTGTCTCTCGTTTACTAATAGACCGATGCTATATTCCGAGATTCGATATCGCGTATCTATCTTTCCGATTATCTCATCGCATTTCTAATTCCCAATTCATAAATCCGACGATTGTCCGATTCCATTACTATTTGAATGCGTCAATAATAATAACAAGTATAAGAGACGCGTCGCGACAAGCATCGGTTGTATATATCGAGAGTGAGGAGATTACTGCCTAATGATGTACTTACGATACTCTCCCGACGATCATACATCGCTGTTTCGACACTCCCGACATGTATTTCCACGCAAGACTCACTTTCGACACTCAAAAGATACATAAAGCACGAAGCGATGTTGATCGATGCGTCAATGGCGGTTGCTCGGTGCGAAAAGGTCGAAGATGCCCTCGCAATTACTCACGTACGCCGCGCTGCTACAACGGCGACATCTGTAGGCTCAATCCCGCGGCTGCATACGATTAGATAGATCGATTCGATCAGATCGGCAATTCGACAGATCGATAACGCAAATTTTCGATCACATTCATTTCTAGTTACGTAGTGTCAGTAGTGTTTATTAATAATTTAGTGGCGTTGCGTGTGTGCCTATGTGTGTGTGTGGGGGGGGGGGG